GCTGATAAAACAAAGACATCGTCCATCTACAAGCTTCATGCAGTTCTCGGAGAACTTGAGCTGGAGGATGTACCCAACGAGCAGCTGCTGCAAACGGAGGTGCCAGACCAGAAGATCCGCATCAACAGCTACCAGCTACCCCCAGCTCTGGGTCTAGAGCCCTACCGCTATTCCGCCAACTGTGTGCCAATCGATAAGCACGACAAGCTCTCCGAGCAGGCCGTTGTCCATACACTGACTGGAATGCTCCAGCCCCTGACCAAGAACGTGATGGATATCATTCGCGAGCGCCCGGATATGTCCATAATGCGCACAGTTCTGGAGAAGACCAATCTGAGTGCCATGTTGGAGGGTGAGAAGCCGGTGACCATCTTTGTGCCCACCGATTTGGCCTTCGATAAGCTGGAGCCGCATCTGCGACGGGCTCTGAAGGAGGGACGAGGCTGTGCTTCGAGTGAGTACCGTAGATCCCTAGAAGACTTGCAATCATAATTAATTAAAACCAAATCTTTTATAGACATCCTCAAGAACCACATGCTGGATCTTACCTTCTGCTCGCTGGCTACAGTTCCCGGAGCCAAGACGACAGCCTTCAATCTGCTGGGTGAGCCCCTGCTGCTCAATCGCACTCAGCGCGCTGAGAATCAGACTGGACCGTCTTCGATCTTCATCAATAACGTGGCCAAGATAATGGAAGCGGATATTATGGGTACAAATGGTGTGCTCCATGTGATCGATACCATTCTGCCCACGGAGACGGCACTGCCCATGACCACTCTGATATCGCAGAAGAACCTGACCATCTTCAAGCAGTTGTTGGAGGCCTCTGGCTATGACGATCAGTTCGATGATCTGAACAATGTGACGATCTTTGCACCCATAGACAAGGCACTGCAGAACACGGAGTGGGCTCGTCTTCTGAAGGAGCAGCCGGAGGTTCTTAACCACAATCTGGATCTGTTGGAGTTCCTCAACTATCACGTTGTCAAGCCCATGATCAAGACTTGCGATCTGTCGGAGAAGTCCCTGCCTACGATGGCCGGCTCCAATGTCCGTCTGAATCTGTATTCCACCCATGCTCTCTTCTCGGATGTGATGAATCGTGCCACCGTGAACTGTGCCCGCCTGGTGCATTTCGATGACGAGAGCTGTGGCTCGGTGCTGCATCAGCTGGATCGTCCACTGACGCCACCCAAGAATGTGAGTTGGAGAGACCATCCTTTTATACAGATTCTAAATGTTCTGCTACCCTGTAATATCCACAGAATATGCTCAAGGTGCTGGAGGCCAATCCCGGCTACAGCAAATTCTTGGAGCTGGTGCGCAAGGCCAATCTGACCCAGCTGCTGTCCAACGATTCGAATAGCTACACCCTGCTGGTGCCCAAGAACGATGTCTTTGATGAGTTCAGCGAGTCGGGTGAGACCCAGAAGCCCGCAGTCCAGACCCAGGCGGAACTAGTGGCCATGGTCAAGACTCACATTGTGGAGGATGTTGTCTGCTGTGCTGGCATCATTCCCACCAACTGGCCTTTTGTGCGCTCCATCGAATCGATCGGGGGTCAGCATTTGCGCATCACTCGCGATCGTCGGCCCAAGATTGAGAATGCCGGCGTAACCAAGTGCGATGTGGTGGCCACCAATGGCATTCTCCACGAGATCAATGACATCATTGTGCCGAGGCCACAACGTGCCCAGCAACGACCCCAGCTGATCCCGCCAGGCGCTGGCTATCAGCCACAGAGCGACTTTGATGTCTTCTTCTGAGCGGAGCAATGATGGTCGCTCCCTTTCCTCTATCTCAAGCACATATATGATCGTATACATATATATAAAGTATATATTTATATTAACTCTTAACGATTTGATTTCTCGATTGATGCAAAATGGCCCAAAAGCTGGGACTTCACTCGGTTAAATAAAAGAAAAATAGTATTAAAAACAAAAGATATTCTAATATGGGAAAACAGAGAGAAAGATTTATCGAATACAAAAAAAAGTAGTAAGCAAAGAAAGAACTAACTGAAAAATTGGCGATTTGTTAGTACTATTTAAGATTAAGGCTCTTGAATAGTTAGAATGCGCCCAACTGCCTCCAGTGCTTCGAGATTTACTCTTCGACGACCGGCGACAGGCGGAAGCACAACCGAAAAGTGAAAAATAGTGCGCCAGAGAATGCAAAAACAAAATACACGCCGTGGGTGGCGGTACCGCGACTCGAGGCCAAGGCGAGAATGCATTTATTTTGGGAATGCACACTGGGTGTAGTGTAGGCTACAAGGGCTGTTTTGTGTTTGTAGGACTCAGGATTCACTGCCATCATCATGAACTCGAAGATAACAGTGCCTTATATTCGTTCTATGATGTTAGAAGCAAGAACTATGCTCGTACTGTTCCATCATTCGAAAGAGAGTTCGTAGATAACAGAACCCCAACTGCTCTGCTCCTACAATGCAAAAATACTACCCCAAAAAGAGCACAAAACATTGTAAGAGAACCTCCCAAAGAGAGCCCAATGCAAGAGAGAGTGTAAACAGTTTAAGATTGCGGTTTCGGAGCGCACACACTTAAAGAACTTACATCTATGTACATACTTCTCATTTCTTATCGCTACTGAAAAGGTGGTCCAAGCCCTATAAAAGCCCTTACCAGTCTACGTACCGTACCCATTTCAACTTAAGCATCCACAAAGTAAAGATGCCAGGAGGACTGCCAGCCACCTTTGTCAAGGGCTTCCATAATGAGGAGCTGGTGCGACGCATGGAGTACCGGGAGCTGGGCAGCACAGGACTTCGAGTGTCCAAGATTGCACTGGGTGGTGCCACCCTTTCCTCCATTTTCTACAACGATTTTCAACGAGAAGAGGGCATCAAGACGGTGCATGAGGCCATCAAATCGGGCATCAACTACATTGACACGGCTCCATTCTATGGCAATTCGGAGGAGCTGCTCGGCCAGGCCCTGAAGGATGTGCCCCGGGAGGCCTACTACATAGCCACTAAGGTGGCTCGCTATGAGCTTGATCCTAAGAAAATGTTCGACTATACTGCAGCCAAGGCGAGGGAGAGTGTGAAGCGTAGCCTGGATCTACTTGGCCTGGAACAGGTGGACGTTCTTCAGGTGCACGATGTGGATGCCGCCCCCAGCTTAGACATGGTTCTTAATGAGACTATCCCCGTTCTGGAGGAGTATGTGAAGGCGGGCAAGGCTCGATTCATTGGGATCACCGCCTACGATGTGGACGTGCTCAAGGAGTGCGCCGAGCGTGGCAAGGGTCGCATCCAGGTGGTCCTCAATTATGCGCGATATACACTGTTAGACAACACCCTGCTGCGCCATATGAAAACCTTTAAGGAGCTCAAGGTGGGCGTCATCTGTGCCGCTGCCCACTCGCTGGGGCTACTCACCAATGCTGGACCCCCAGCCATACATCCCGGTAGTCCGGAGCTTCAGGCTCTGGGTCGGCGGGCAGCAGAGATCTGCAAGCAGCGGGACGTGGAGCTGGGCAAGTTGGCCATGTACTACACCATGCAACTGGACGGAGCAGCCACCTTCCTCATCGGCATCCCCAATCGACGCTTGCTGCAGGTTAATCTGGACGCGATCTTCGACGGCCTTACCTCGCACGAGCAGGAAGTGCTGCAGTATCTGCGCGAAAAGTAAGTAGGAATTGTGCAAGTCGGATTTGGTGTTAGCAATTGCATCACGGGTACCAGCACTGGCACTGCCACTGCCACTGGAACCGGGTCGAACTTGGCCTCAGCCCCCAAAACAGGTTCCCCCAATCCAATCCAGTCCAATCCAATCCAATCCCCAATCACCAATCACCATTTAAACATGTATTTCTTTCTCTGTCTTTGTTTCAGTGTTTTGACCAAATCGTATAGTTGGGGCTCCACTTTATCCACTGTGGACAAGTTCCAATGAGTAGAGATCAAAGCTGAAGAAACGCTGAAGAAGACTGCAAAAAATCGATCTTTACCATATATTGTAAATGAATTAATACAGATAAAATAAAGTAATTATTGAAGGAAAAATACTTATCATTTTGTTTGAAATCCTTTCACTTCCAATTAACAAACCACTGAAGACCAGGACTCATATACATTTTCGTTGGTAATCGTTTCATTTCCAATGTTTACTTAGCTTAATTGGAAAAATTCGCCATTATTTCAAAGATAAGCTCAGGTTCATCCACAGATCAATTGTAGTTACCTGGTACATCAAACAATATTTATATACAAGAGTAGGTTTAAAAGTGTTTTATATTTTCTTGATTAAATTATTTATACGTATGTACATGCTCGAATGTCTTTATGCCTGTATATTAAAAGCGTAGCCGGCTTAATTGACTTCTCAAATTGCATGATTTTTGCACCCAGAGAGTGCAAAGAAGGGAATAGCGCGAGAGTATCCATAAACGGAAAAAGCAGAGGCTGGAAGAGAACAACGTTAAACAAACCTGAATAAGTCATAAGTTCTAAGAGTAATTGAAAAAACTTGGATGCTTCGTTCGCATTTTGCTAACAGCATCAGCAGCATCAGATGTATGAGAATATGGATACATCTTCAATCCAACATACTTTTTTGAATTCAACATTTTTTATAAAAGCTGAGGTAAAACACCACACCTTTAAGAGCGCTGCTGGAAACGCCCCACCTTTATATGAAAATATTCCTTGGGAAGGTACAACTTTGATCAATTCTTCTCTCTATTCTAAACTCTCGCTCTCTCTCTCTCTCTCCCTTGCACTCTTGCAGCTTTTTTCAGCAGCTTTGAGCACAGCGCAGGTGCTCTCTCTCCCATACTATAATCTTTCGTATCAAACTCGAATCCGCTTCGCTTCTGTTCGCAAACACTCGGTCATATCAGTACATAATCGCAAATGTATATGTACATATGAATGTATTTGTTTGTTTAAGTGCACTTCAGCTCTGTTCTCTTTATCGGTTTTGGCAAATATAAACTGAATATACGGAAATTTGTTGTCAGTATTCCTCTGGATGGGGTAAGAATTTCATCACAGTGTGACATAGATTGGACGCGACTCAAAATGTCTGGAACATTGCCGGCTACCTATGTGAAGGGTTTCCACGATGAGGAGAAGGTGCGGCGCATGGAATACCGCAAGCTCGGAAAAACAGGTCTAGAAGTATCGAAGATTTCATTCGGTGGCGGTGCGCTGTGTGCCAACTATGGGTAAGAGATATATTTTTAATCGATCTCTTATGCGGAACTCTTAAAATACGACATGTTCTCTTTCTGCTTCAGGTTTGATCTTGAAGAGGGCATCAAAACAGTGCAGGATGCCTTGAAATCGGGCATCAATTATATTGATACTGCTCCATGGTATGGACAAGGACGGTCCGAAGAGGTGCTCGGCCAGGCCTTAAAGGATGTGCCTCGGGAGTCCTATTATATAGCCACTAAAGTGGCTCGCTATGAGCTTGATCCCAACAAAATGTTCGACTTCAGTGCCAAGAAGACTCGCGAAAGTGTGGAAAAGAGCCTAAAGCTTTTGGGCCTGCAATATGTGGATGTCATCCAAATCCATGATATTGAATTTGCTGAGAATTTGGATATTGTTCTCAATGAAACATTGCCCACCTTGGAGGCGCTGGTCAAGGAGGGAAAGGCCAAGTATATTGGCGTCTCTGCTTATCCCATTTCTGTGCTCAAGGAGTGTCTATCCCGAGCACCAGGAAGGTTCGATGTACGTAACGCAATGGAGGATTTGTCCCTGACTTACCAAACTTTTATAAACTGCTTTCAGACGGTGCTGACATATTGCAGGTACACTCTAACCGATGACACGCTTCTTGAATACCTGGATTTCTTCAAGTCACAGAATCTTGGCGTAATATCTGCTGCTGCCCATGGCTTGGGCCTACTCACAAATGCTGGTCCGCCGCCGTGGCATCCAGCCACCGATGAACAAAAGGCTCTGGGCCGCAAGGCAGCAGCTGTATGCTTGCAGCGCGGTGTGGAGCTGGGAAAACTGGCCCTCTACTACTCCATGAAACTGGGGGAAGTGAGCACCTTCCTCACTGGCATGCAAACGCGGCAGTTGCTCCAGATCAATCTGGCGGCTTTCGAACAGGGCCTCACCGAAAAGGAGCAGGAAGTGCTGTTGTATCTGAGCAAAAAGTGAGTGTCCGACTCGGAAGTTGGCCAAAAACCAGACAAAGACAGAGCTAAAAATTGTGCAACTCGGATACAATGTTAGGATTACATCATTCCCCCGCTTCCATGGGGTTGACCAGGCCAGACCCGTCCCAGACCAAGTGCATGGCGTCCATATGTGCATGATCATTGTCAATCTTGGCCATCGGTGCAGTAGGCACCGGGAAATCTCTTCCCATCCCACAAACAATCCCCAATCATTTCTATCCACTTCCGACTGCGCCTATGGAACTTGTTACTCTTCCTTTCTCTCTCTTAATCTTTATCTTTCTCTCTTACGCCCGCTTCGTGCTCCATGGGAATTATGATTATGAGCAGTAATTTTTGCATGTTCCCACTTTAACTGTTGGACAACTTTCCATGTCCCTCTCCACTCAGTCATTATGTAAATCTCTTAATATTTCTTCTTTCATTTTCAGTGTTTTGACCAAATCTTTCAATTGGGAGGGAATCGAGCTGGAGCGTTATTGGGCCGCGATAAAGAACAAGTAATTCCAGAGGATTACCAAGAAGAACCACAAATTTAAGAGAGCATCTTTTGTTATCTGTTTTATTGGAAAGTTTTTGAATGGTTTACAGCTCCAGATAACCTTTAACAATGGTTTTATTTGCCCTAGAATTGAACTTGACATAAATGAATAAACAAAAATCACTTTCAATAAATGATAACTACATATACTAAGGCCTAAGAAACTATCAAAACCAATAACTGATACGGGAAAAGTACTTGAAAGGTTGATAGTAATAAATTGGAAAATTAAGGTAGTGGCCCGAGGAGAATGTATCTGGAACTTACTCGAAATATGGAAAATACAATGCTCGTATAGTCTGCCACAAACATATCGTTCGTAAAGCATCATAACAACTCAATTATATTTCGCTTTCGGAGAAAATCCACTTTACCAAAGGGTATTATCTGGTTAGATTTTCGTGTGGCGCAGAAGGAGGCTGTATGTTCATCGGAAGTACTAGAGTAAGGGTCTCTGGATAGAACCATCCCATTCGCGTATATTTCTCTTGAGTGAACTATCTTTTCGCACAGTTTCAATGGCCTCTGGAACTGAAAGAGTATATTAACTTCGGCGCAACAAAATGTTATATCTTTTATGAATTTTTTTGCCCAATATTGAAAATCCACTTCCACCTTTCGCTCTCCATGGCGAAAATCCATCCAGCTCTTCCAGCCGGACCAAATCACCAACTAATTACACTTTAATTAACGCAGTAAACGTAAAACAAAAGATGTAAATACGAGTACAAATAAAAGCAGAAACCACAAGGAAAGGCAAGACGGCAACTCAAATTATTTAGCTCGTTGCATGAAGGAGAACCGAGTCGCACCAAGTCGAACCGAACTGAAGCGATGCGAGGCGAGGCGGAAAACGGGGAAGTTTAATAACATTTTGAATAATGAACGAGGAGCCACAAAAAAAGCAAGAGTCGAGTGCTGTGGTAAAAATGCGATGCGAATGCACACAGCAGTAATGCAATCCACATGCCACACGAAAAGCGGAAATGTCTCTGGAGCGATGCCGCATTTTGTTTTCCTTAAACTGCCGCTTTAAATAATTTTTATTTTACTTTTCCATCCAACCCACCATGGCGCAATCCAATAAATTTTCGTCCTATCAAAACTGCACAACACAACACTTTTTTGTTTTGCAAGTACTGGCCAAACGAGATGGTTTATAAAAACAGATTCGTCAGCTTTGAAAGAGTCCAAAAGCTATCTCGTTTAGTCAGTGCTTAACGCTCAGCTGTTGGCCAGGTTCTCTCTCATTTCACTCTCTTTCGCCTTTCTCAAGCGCTCTCCCGTGTTGTGCGGTGTGGGCTGGCCGGATCTTTTGAGCTGCGCTTATATGCGCTGCGCCGTCGCAGAAGAAGCGGTACTTTCGGTTCGAGCCTCCAGCCACTGAGACGTGTCCGCGCCGCGTTAACGTTACTACACAAACATTTTTTAAAATAATATTCAAGTGCAATATGCCGCCATTACAGAATAAAATATTGCTTTTGTTCGCCTGCAATATATTGCTGGCTGTCTACGTGTCCGGCGGCAGTAACAATAAGCAGCAACAACATCAGCAGCAGAATCAAGGTAGGGCTGAGAAGGGACTGGCTGATTCATGTTGGGTGGAGAAATTGTCAATGCCATAGTCAAGTTCTTCTGCGGGCTGTTCTAGCCAGACCAAAATAAACAGAAACCGGTTGCGGAAGAGTAAGAAGCAGCTCAGAAAATGCCGGCCAGACAGAAGACGAGTGAACTTCAACGCTTCGATGCGGTTCGTTGGGGAAGACTTATGGGGAAGTAACGGTTATGTGTGGAAATAAACCATTGTGTTTTGGGGAAAGAAAGAAAATGGAAAGTTTCCTTTAGAAAACTTCTTTTAAATAAGATTAAAATCATTTGAAGGCTTTGTATAGAAAACTACAAAGCAAGTCGCCAAAAATTGTTTAAAAACTGAATAAAGTAATGGATAAAACTCGTGTCTCAAATCGATAAGAAAATGGAACTTAAACCTCAGTTACTTTACAAGGATGAGCCACCATCCCAAAAAAGATATATGTATATACGACATGTTAAATTGTTGAACTTATTGCAGAAATCTGGGAACAAGACCTTTCGGACACCTTTAAAATCGAGGGCAGCGATCAGGGCATTCAAAAGGTCAACTTGAAGTGCGGTTCCAACTCCATGAATGTTATGCTGGAGACGGAAAAGCCCTTCACGGGTGTGATGTACACGCGTGGCAGCTTCTACAAGCAGACGGCCCCGTGTTTCATGAAGCCCACAGCCAACCAGGGTGCCCGATCACTGGAGATGAACTTCCAGCTGGACCAGTGCCAGACCCTGAAGGATGGTGATCTCTACACGAACATAGTGGTGATTCAGAACGACCCAGAGCTGATAACACCCGGGGATTCGGCCTTCTCGCTGGAGTGCGACTTCCGTCAGCCGCGCAGCCTCGATGTGGAGGCCAGCATGCAGGCCAGGGATAGGTAAGGAAGCGGGATGGTATAATCCTTTTGTGAAGTTGTGATGTCATTATCTGAACTTGCAATAGAAACCCACAAAAATTGCGTGGAGCACGCGGTGGCCCCCGCCAGCGTCAATAGAACTTTCTACTCACGAACTCCACTCTAAGTTCTATACTTCTTCTTCAACTGCAATTGTTTCCAAATAGCTGTACATAAGGTACAAATCGAGAGTACCCTCAATTCGTATGCACCCCCAAACTAACACCAAAAGCGTAGCGGCTTACTAACCCTTAAAACAATGAAACACAGGAAAAACCAAAAACCATACAATACAATCCACAGGGTGGCCACAGGCTCCAAAATTACACTCACTAGTCCCGATCCCGCGGCACCCACGGAACATCTACACAACTCGGTGGTTAGCAACAGCGATTCGGTTGAGTACATTCCAAAGTTTAGCAGACCAAATAGAACCATACACCTGGGCTCCGTCGAGGAGGTGGCGCTGCCATCCCCGGAGCACGCCAGGGACGAGCTATAAAGAACACTAAAAATCCTCCTCCACACAGCATGACACAAATCGAAAACACAATCACAACACTTGAAACACACTCTTAAATACAGGTGAGAGACGAGGACACGCTTTTTGTTTCTATTTGAGTTGTTTTTAACGTTGCAAAATTGTTGTATTTTTTTTTTACTGACTCTTTTCCGAATTCACAGGAAAATCGCACAGAACTCGACGCACACGTAAACAGAGAAGCCGGCGAACAGCAGATGCACTAACACCACTTCATTTAAATGGTTTTTCATATCCTGTGATATTTTTAAAGTTTGATTTTAATAAAACTTCAAGCAAATTTCCTAAAATTCGCGCTGTTCTTTTTAAATAACTCGCCAACTCTCTCTCGAGCAACTTGGAGGTATTCATTTGCGGTATTATTAATACTTTTCGGTATTTTTCAGGTCCAAATTGATGAGTTTTTTTTTATATTTTATATTCGAGAACATAGGGTAACGGGAGTACTTTTCTTGTAGAAAATGTATTCATCAATGGCATAAAACTCAACGGAATATCAAAATTGAGGAATTGGAACGATTAGTACTTAAATTTTATTTGTTTGACCATTTTCGCTAAAACCGTGTTGTACGCAACATCCAATAAAAGCCAGTATTTAAAATAAGCCAGTTAAGTAGAAAAATTATTCATGAATCGTATAAAATTATGTGGGCATGGCTAAATGTTCTATATAGCTCGCAATATTCCACGGAAGATCAAAAACGAGGAATATGAATAATTCGTCGGTATATTTTGAAAATGAGACCGTATATTTCGGTATTTATTCGAATCGGGTATGAATCGGTAATAACCGGTTCACAACAATGATTAACGGCAACACTAGTTCTCATACCCTAGCGAAAAAGATGTTATAGAATTGAGAAAATGTTTGTCATCCAAGGCTCCGTAGGTATCAGTATCGAGATAAATATACACAAGATACTTATAATACACATGAATATGTCTAAAACATATCAATTTGAGAAAAGGTCTTTATAAATTACGTTTTATCTTCATATAATATTAACGAAATAGGGTATAAAAATGCCTATACACGCATCATGTCTTCAAATACCAGCAACACTGCGACTGTGTTTTTGTTGAACTATTTTGTTTTAGCCAAAATACAATAAAAGCAAGGACTAAAAACTAGCCAATCTTGAAGAACTAAGGGTTTTAGTTAGCCAGAATTATTCAAGGGAATATAAAAATTGAACAATATGAACGACTGTCCTCTTTCGCATTTTGTGCTAAAACCTTTTTTTGTTTGACCATTTTCGCTAAAACCTTCTTTTAGACAAGATCCAATAAAAGCAAGTATTTAAAATAAGCCAGTAAAGTAGAAAATTGATTCATTAATCGGATACAACTATGTGGGCAAGGCTGAAGGTTCTATCAAACTTGTAATATTCGACGGAATATCAAAAACGAGCAATATGTATGCTGGAACTTGAATAATTCGTCAGTATTTTTACGGTATATTTTAAAAATGAGGCCGTATATTACGGAGGGTCGGACAGTATGTTTGTAAGCGATCCAAAATACAATAAAATTTAAATAATTTAGTTTAAATCATTTAAAAAACTCAATAATTTACCAATAAATCAATAAATAAAGCTTTCGACAGTGGCTAAGAAGATTTTCGCTTCGTTTTGATAAACTTGGGAAGGGCATGCCGCAGTCTGTCTATCTATTGCGCATCCAACAAAGAACGTCAATAATTTTAAATTGAATTAAAGAAAGGCTGCAGTTTTGCACATACATATGTATTTTGTTCTCTAAAATGGATCATCGTGTGTTCCTTTCGCTGGTCTTTGTGCTCAGCGGCACTTTTAATGTTTTGGTGGTGAAGTAAGTAGAAAACTAAAAAATATATTATATATTATGTATGTACATATGTAAGTGCATCTGTAAATCTTTCAGGTGGGCTAACCAGCAGCAGGTGATTGGTAGCGATGGCAAGCTACATGGCTTCCAGCACCCTGTTGTCTTCACGATGCTTATGTTCCTGGGCGAATTCCTTTGCTTTATTGCCTTCAAAGTGGGACGTTTGGTGGCCCATCGTCGAGGGGTAAAGTGCTGTAGGGCCCCATTTGAGATGGAGTATTAAACATAGACTATTTTCCAGCCTGGCGCCGAAATGGACAGTATCCTGACCCAAGGTAGCACCGAATTCCATCCCCTGAGCATGCTTCTGCCCACTTTGCTGGATGTGATGGCTTCCATATTGCTGTTCACCGGCTTGTACTTGACTTACGCCACCAGCTTCCAGATGATAAGAGGTTCGTTTATCAGCTGCTGCTATTGCTTATCACGATTTACATTGTGCCTCCTTCCTTCTCCTCAGGCGCCGCCCTCATCTTTGTGGGTATCTTCAGCACAATGTACTTGAATAATACGCTGAGCACACGGCACTGGCTGGCTATTTTCACTATGGCTTGTGGCATCATTGACATCATATCCTTGGATGTGCAACGGGTGGACTACGATCGGTTTACGCTGCCGCATACGGACCACAAATCAATCTTGGCTGGCGATATGCTCATCATTATAGCCGAAATCCTGCACGGTTTACAGTATGTCTATGAGGAAAAGCAGCTGAAGATCTTGAATGTGGCTCCGCTGCAGGCCGCTGGCTGGCAAGGTATCTTTGGCATGGCCATCACTTCGATACTAGCCATCTGTATGCACTTTGTGCCCAGTGTAATGCCATTCAACGAGAGCTCGCGTGCTGTTTTCGATGATTGGAGCGATCTGTGGACGGGAATAGAGGGTAATGCAGCCTTAATCCTGGCCCTGATTGGATTTACCTTGTCCTGTGCCGTCTACAACTTCATTGGACTGTTCATTGTGATGTACTCGTCGAGCGCAAACCGACTCCTTGCCGACTGTCTGCGGGTGTATTTTATCTTTGTGTTTGTCATTGTCATGGAATGGGAATACTTCAACCTAATCACGATTATGGGTTTTATCATTATGCAAATGGGCATTATTATGTACCGTCAGGCCATATTCGTGGATTGGTACCGTGCAGCTCTGGCCCGCTGGCAACGCAGCCGCTATGTGGATCTGAGTGCCGATGTAGCGGCCGCACCCAACAGCAGGCCAGCAGATGTCATCTAAGGAAACAGCAGAAGGAAGGACAGTCGATTGTGATATGAGAGGTTGGGGCTCTCGGAGCCCAGGGCTGATTCATCAAAATTACTTATCAATTGTAAACGTTTAAAAAGTAGATTATAAAATACACAAATACACATCAAATTTATTCATACACTGACTACACTGCAACTAAACACTCTTCTTCCTTTCGATACCCAGAATCATCTCGCCCACGCCGGTAAAGTACACCATCTGGGCAATGCCAAACATCGGGGCAAGGACCATAATACGGCACAAACCGCCCTTGAAGAAGGCCAAGGGTCCCTCATACTTCATAGTCTTGGTCAAACAGTCAAAGAAGCCGTCAAACTCCTTCTCGCCTTCGATCTTCTTGATAGCCTGCAGGCGGGTTTTGATCACGTCGAAAGGCGTGACCAGAAGAGCAGAAAACATCCCAGCAGACAGACCGGCGAACAAAGACCAATAGAAGACCGCTTCACCAGAATTATCTGCCTTGCGGGGCCCAGCATCATTGATGGAAGCCATCATTGGAAAGTAGACCACCGAAAAAACTACATCCCGCACTCCAGTGGCTTTCACACCCTTGTACAGACCAAAGATGCCATGCTCTTTGACCAGCGTTTTGGCCACATCCAGCGCTGTTGTTTTTTGCACTTCCCTACCGGCGGCACGTTCTGCGCTAGCAATGCGTCCAGCATCTTGCATCTGGATCTTGAGCAGCTCCATGGGCGTTGTCACAATGATCTGAAACAGCCCAGCCAAGCCACCGGCTATTCCCGCCATATGCAACGGCAGCTTACCCTCGGGCGTGGCCAAGTGGAACCGAAAATAATCATTGGCCGCCAACTTGATGGCTTTTTCAGGCGTAACCAATAATATATTGACTGCAGACCCCCTGTACATGCCAAAGAATCCATCTTGTTTGATGGTCTTGCGAAAGCAATCAATGCTGCATTGAAGATATAATCATTGAGCATTGATTTAAGTGTAGAGCCAATTTAGCCCACTTACATGCTACTGTACATCTTCTCGCCATTAGGTCCTATTTGTTGATTCTGCAATCGAGTCTTGACCAAATCCATGGGGAACACACAGGTGACTCCAATGATGCCTGCGATTCCGCCATTGATGATCTTTGGAAGTACACTGGGGGTGCAATGCGGGGTTAGCGTAGTACCATTAGAGGGTACGCCACCATTGACTTACTTAAAAGAGGCCGCCTTCTTTTGATCCGCCATTAAAACTAGAAATTTCACTTACAAAAAAAAAAAAATACTACAAAACAAAAAAACGAAAAAAGTTGATAGAACTTAACAGTGAGAGAACTAAAGTACTTCTAAATTTGGTATAAATGTGGAGATATATATTTCATTTGTTGTTCATGTCAGACAATTTTTATAAAGTATATTGTATTGTGAACAGTGTTTGCTCTAGAATCATGTTCTTTAGCACTACTAAAAGTTACACTTTGGCCTAGCAGCAAAAGAAAGCGTAAGGTTACTGACTATCTGTGCATGGCTCAAAAATAGAGAGTGATATAGAGAGACAGCCAAAACACAACAATTATAAATTAATCTAAAACAAACGAACTAGAAAACAAACATTATACATAATAATAGAGCTCTGATTCCACTTTATCTTATTGTCATAGAAGCATAGGTTCACTGCCAAAGGCCTGTACACATGATTTTTGGACTGACCGCTGACATTATGAGACTTTTCAATTACATTCTTGGACAGCTTCAAGAATAACATTTCAACACAAATACACCTTCAACATTCAGAGTGTAAACATGCAATTTGTTGTCTTATCGATTAGATTTATCCGAAGGGAGGTCTCCTTTATTTCTTTTCCATGCCCAACAGTGCCTCAGCCACGCCCAGATAGTAAACTGTCTGAGCAATGCCGAACAATGGAGCAATCACAATCATACGGCACAGGCCGCCCTTGAAGAATGCCGTGGGTCCCTCATGCTTCAGCGTCTTACTGAACATAAAGAGAGAGATTGTACGAATAATGAGAGGTGATTAACCAAACAGCACTCACGTGATGCAATCCGATATGCCTTCGAACTCCTTCTCGCCATCGGCCTTCTTAATCGCCTGAAGGCGTGTTTTTACCACATCGAAGGGATTGACGGCCAAAGCAGCAGTAGAACCCGCCGCCAAGCCAGCCAGGAAGGAACACCTTTATAGAAAAGAATACAGTGAAACAACATCTTAAAAGTGAACAGTGCAATCTGAATTCTCACCAGAAGACAGCCTCGCCCGAGCCATCCTTGCGCCTCGGGCCGAGATCGTTGAGCGTGGCAAACAACGGGAAGTAGATGACCGAGAATGTCACATCTCGCAGTCCCGTGGCACCGATGCCCTTGTAGAGGCCAAATATTCCCTTCTCTTTTACCAGCTGTGAGGCCAGCTGGGTGGCCGACACCTTTTCTACCGTCTTACCCGCCAGTTTGGCGGCCGCTGCCACTCGTCCCGCGTCCTGCATCTGGATCTTGAGCAGCTCCATGGGGGTGGTGACAACGATCTGGAATGCTCCGGCCAGACCTCCCGCTACCATCTGACTGCTGATGGGAAGCTTGCCATCCTTAGTGGTCAATTTATGACGGAAATAATCGTTGGCCGCCAGCTTGATAGCCTTCTCAGGGGTAATCAATAGGATGTTCACTCCCGACCCGCGATACATACCAAAGTAGCCCTCGGCGGCGTATGTCTTGCGGAAGCAATCGAACCTAGCGTGGATTGAACATTGAGTAGATCAGCTCTATGGGAATTTCATATATAGCAGGTATACTCACATGCTCTTGTACATTCGTTCGCCATTTGGACCGACCTGCTGGTTCTGCAGCCGCGTCTTGACCAAATCCAATGGAAACACACATGTCACACCAATGATGCCAGCGATCCCGCCATTGATGATCTTTGGAAGTATACTGGGGGTGCAATGAGGGGTTAGCGTGGTACCATTAGAGGGTACACCTCCACTGACTTACTGAAAAGATGCCGGCTTCTTTTGATCCGCCATTAAAACTATAAATTTTACTTACAAAAAAAACAAACATAATACAAAACAAACAAATTTCAAGAACTGAACACAGTGAGTGAACAAAATTACTTCTAAATTTGGTACATATGTATAGATATATATATTTCGTTTGTTGGTCATGTCTGACAATTTTTTATAAAGTACATATATTGTATAGTGAACAGTTTTTGCTCTAGAGTCATGTTCTTTAACACTACTAAAAGTTACACTTTGGCCTAGAAGCAAAAGAAAAATGCATTTGTAATACAATTGTAAGCGAAAGGTTAATAGCTATCTGTGCATGGCTCAGGGATAGAGAGTGATATAGAGAGATAGTCAAAACACAACAGTTATAAATTATTCTAAAACAAAGGAACTAGCAAACAAACATTTTACATAATAATAGCTCTGATTCCACTTTATCTTATTGTCATAGGAGCATAGGTTCAGTGCCAAAGGCCTGTATATAATATACGTACATATATATTCTGTCGGTATACGGGTAGGGTGAAGGGGGGCGAGGGATAACTTTAACAACTGTTCTTTCTGGACTGACGGCTGACATTTTGAGACTTTACAATTACATTCTTGGACAGCTTTAACAATAACATTTTAAAACAAATACACATTCAACATTCAGAGAGTAAACTTAAAATGCTTTGTCTTATCGATTAGTTTTATCGGAAGGGAGGTCGTCCTCCTTTATTTCTTTTCCATGCCCAACAGTCCCTCGGCCACGCCCAAATAGTACACCGTCTGAGCAATGCCGAACAATGGAGCAATCACAATCATACGGCACAGACCGCCCTTGAAGAATGCCGTGGGTCCCTCATGCTTCAGCGTCTTACTGAACATAAAGAGAGAGATTGTACGAACAATGAGAGGTGATTAACCAGTGAATAGTTCAGCACTCACGTGATGCAATCGGATATGCCTTTGAACTCCTTCTCGCCATCGGCCTTCTTAATCGCCTGAAGGCGTGTTTTTACCACATCGAAGGGATTGACGGCCAAAGCAGCAGTAGAACCCGCCGCCAAGCCAGCCAGGAAGGAACACCTTTATAGAAAAGAATACAGTGAAACAACATCTTAAAAATGAACAGTGCAATCTGAATTCTCACCAGAAGACAGCCTCGCCCGAGCCATCCTTGCGCCTCGGGCCGAGATCGTTGAGCGTGGCAAACAACGGGAAGTAGATGACCGAGAATGTCACATCTCGCAGTCCCGTGGCACCGATGCCCTTGTAGAGGCCAAATATTCCCTTCTCTTTTACCAGCTGTGAGGCCAGCTGGGTGGCCGACACCTTTTCTACCGTCTTACCCGCCAGTTTGGCGGCCGCTGCCACTCGTCCCGCGTCCTGCATCTGGATCTTGAGCAGCTCCATGGGGGTGGTGACAACGATCTGGAATGCTCCAGCCAGACCTCCCGCTACCATCTGACTGCTGATGGGAAGCTTGCCATCCTTGGTGGTCAATTTATGACGGAAATAATCGTTGGCCGTCAGCTTGATAGCCTTCTCAGGGGTAATCAATAGGATGTTCACCCCCGAGCCGCGATACATGCCAAAGTAGCCCTCGGCGGCGTATGTTTTGCGGAAGCAATCGAACCTAGCGTGGATTAAACATTGGAGTAGATCAGCTCTATGGGAATTTCATATATAGCAGGTATACTCACATGCTCTTGTACATGCGTTCGCCATTTGGACCGACCTGCTGGTTCTGCAGCCGCGTCTTGACCAAATCCAATGGAAACACACATGTCACACCAATGACGCCAGCGATTCCACCGTTGATTACTTTGGGCAACAGTCTGTAAGGAGTAGTATAGAGAGACTGTTGTTTAGTCTGTCTTGGGACTCACTTTTGGCTAATTGACAACTATTTGCACTGCGTTAACTTTTGCATTCCCTTTTGCATGTGCAGCAGACAGTAGGTCCTTGAACTTGACCACCAACAAGACATCGTGTTCCCCGCCACATTGTTTCTAAAGGTATTTTAGCTAATTGGGTTGGCAAGTAACGAAAAATAAAGGTCAAAGCAATGAGCCATTTCCCATTAATATGCGAAGAAATATTTGGTTCTCTGCCAAGATATCAAAATGTATATCTTTTCAGATCTATAGCTAGACGATGGTTTGGTCTATTTTGAGGTTTGGCGCGCTGTCGCTGCCAACAAAAGCGAAATGCATTTGTTCGAAGGACCGCCGCCTAGGAACAACCAACAACAGAAATAATACGCATTCATATTATGACATAGAACGTCTGTCCTTGGCTGCACTTTTGCCCTAAATTTGCTGAGACGATGGGTTCACGCGGTTGGCATGCGGTTGTCTGATGGGAAGGCTGCAACAATTCAATGCGAAATTTAGAATTGTATTCAAACAGCAATGACAACTATCGAAAATTCGATAAAATGGAATTGTTTACGGTAAAGTTTTATAAAATTTAAGGTAGAACAGCGTAGTTAGAGGCAGATGAATATTGATTTTAATATTTATTTTCTTCTGCATACATATGTACATATGAATGTATGTATGAATAATTATTTTTTTGTTTTGTAAAAATATTGTTTACTTTTTGTTATCAGCTAATTAAAATGTTATTTATTACTTACGAGAATTGCTGGTGCTTCGGCTGTTGTAGCGGTATTTTGTCAGACTCGATCGTCGCCATGCTGAAAAAATAAATGTATAAATATGCATACATATACATATACACATATTAATATATATGATATACATATAGTAGATAGATGTACAGAAGTGGTGCAAACTGGTTTAAAAAATATCCAAACACATATGTATGCACATTTTGTTCCTGTTTCTTGACCACTTTACCCCAATTAAACAATACATCATATTATTATGTTAACCAACTGATAGGGAAATTTATTATACCCAAATGATAAGAACGACAGAGAGGGAGAGTGAGAGAGAGAGGCGGAGGTACAAAGTTTATTGACACACGGGAGCGATGAAGATTAGCAGCAAATCAAACAACCATTTCCATTAGTTTGCCATCGTGAATAAATATAATAATATTACACCCGAGTGCTAAATGAACACATTTTAGGGCATTTAAATTTGTACAAATTGTTGGAACCACCGACCGGAATAGCGGTACGGGTCTGTTTCCCATTGCGCAGAAGATAAGCGCAATTTTTCTTTTATCTTTTTGCAAGAATAATTCAAGCATAAAGATATCAGAGAAGGTTCCGATAATCATCAGAGGGGAAAACGTAGAAGGCACAAGTACGCTCCACAAGTCAAGGTAACCACAAGCTACTATAAACGGGTATGATATAAAGTAATATTGTCAAGATTAGAGGCTTCAAACTGGGGTTGTGCTGATTATTGATTATTGCCAGAAACAGCAGAGCAGGCTTCGAGGGGCTTGACAACTACTTAAGAACCTGCCTGCGTGTAAAATTTTTCACAGGTAATACAATTATTGTATGTATATATATTGATAATGTTTCATGGAGGCACTCAAATTCATTGAGGTTACTGGAGCAACAAACACTTGTCGGGTACATACATTTTACATAATTTCTGTATTCATCAAACACTCGAGAACACCTTTAATAAATTGAATTTACTGTCGCACTCTCCATATGTACCACTCGCAGGCTATTAAATGTTTAAATAAATTTGTACGTCTGGGCCCCCCCGTATGCGTTTGTTTACGCCACCCACTATTATTGTTGAACTCACTTATCACTTTTTTGTTCGATGAATATTTAATTGACTTGATTACTGTGCACTTAAATGTTGCCTTTACTGAACAACGATTAATTAACGGCTATTAAACTAAATTCAATTTAATTCTTGTTTTCGTCGCGCCGTGTCGGCGTGTAAGCAGTGTGACCGCGATAAAATATACGGTCTGACCCACAGAAATATACTTAAACCTACCGTAAATATACTGACGAGCTCATGCTCTATTATACACATTCCTCAATTTTGATATTCCGTGGAATATTACCATCTATAAAGAACATTTAGCCAAGCCCACATAATTTTATACGATTCATGAATAATTTGTCTACTTAACTGGCTTATTTTAAATACTTGCTTTTATTGGATGTTGCGTAAAAACAGGTTTTAGCGAAAATGGTCAAACAAAAAAAGGTTTTAGCACAAAATGCGAAAGAGGACAGTCGTTCATATTGTTCAATTTTTATATTCCCTTGAATAATTCTGGCTAACTAAAACCCTTAGTTCTTCAAGCTTGGCTAGTTTTTAGTCCTTGCTTTTATTGTATTTTGGCTAAAACACGGCTTAAACAAAATAGTTCAAGAAAAACACAGTCGCAGTGTTGCTGGTATTTGAAGACATGATGCGTGTATAGGCATTTTTATACCCCATTTCGTTAATATTATATGAAGATAAAACGTAATTTATAAAGACCTTTTCTCAAATTGATATGTTTTAGACATATTCATGTGTATTATTAGTATCTTGTGTATATTTATCTCGATACCTGATACCTACGGAGCCTTGGATGACAAACATATTCTCAATTCTATAACATCCTTTTCCCTAGGGTATGACAATTAATGTTGCCGTAGTCATTGTTGTCAACCGGTTATTACCGATTCATACCCGATGCAAATAAATACCGAAATATACGGTCTCATTTTCAAAATATACCGACGAATTATTCATATTCCTCGTTTTTGATCTTCCGTGGAATATTACGAGCTATATAGAACATTTAGCCATGCCCACATAATTTGTTACAATTAGTGAATCAATTTTCTACTTAGCTGGCTTATTTTAAATACTTGCTCTTATTGGAGCGAAAATGGTCAAACAAATAAAATTTAAGCACTAATCGCTTTCCAGCACTACCACTACCACAACAAAAGAATTTTGCAACACCAGAACTTTTTCACTGCGAGACTAGATTCCCCAACAAAAAATATAGAAAATATATTTTATTTAAACAACGAATTGACTCACAATGAGCTCGACTCGTTTTGCGCGCTCTGGGCGCGTTCGCATCTGTATTCTGATGAGCATGTTCGTGGTGCTCATCATGATGATTGTCATTTACCAAATGTCTCAACATCAATTGGACGAGAGCCGAGCCTTTCAGGAGGGCCTGAACGTTCAGATGCAATGTAAGATAAATGCTTCAAGCAGAGTCTTTTAACTGATAATAATATGCAGCCTTAACAGCTGAGAAACTGACAGCCGAGAAGAGGATGAATGTTCTGCGCACGGAAAAGGAGAGGTACGAGAATCAACTAGCGGAGTCCATACAAAAGCAACAGGAGACGGAGCGTGCCCTGCAGGAGAAGTTTGATGGCGAGCTGGAAAAGTACAAGCTGCTGGAGTTCAAATATTCCGAGCTGGAGGGGGATTGTGTCAAGAGCAAGAAGAAGCACCTCGAAGATACGAATTCATTCGATCAGAAGCTGAAAAAACTGTTGGCGGATGTTCATAAAGATAAGGCTTCTAAGGAGCATGAAGTTGCCGAATGGAAGGTTGGTGATAGTGAAACAAGAATGTTCAAACTTCCTTTAATACTTTTCCGTTTCAGAAAAAGCATGATAGGTTGCAACGGGAGTCGGAGCACAAGATTCATGCCCTTGAGGCTACTCTGACCGAATACAAAGGCAACTGCCACTACATACCAAAAGTACAGCCCGCAGAGGCACCAGCACAGAATGGCATTCAACAGCAGTTGAACAAGCCCGCAGAAATTACACCGACCACGCGTCACTCCAGTCCCTCGCATCAGGCGCACAGCATTGACAAGCCGCGCAACGATAAATCCTTTAACGCGCAAATGCAAGTGAGTGAAGGCCTCTACAGGATTGGCGGCGGGGTAAATCTTCTACCAACTAACCAAAACCAAACCACTTACAATACTAACACTCCAACTAATCGAACTGGTGCCAGCGGCGATGTAGTGATAGAGCAGATCCAGCCGCAACAGCGCGAGGTGGAGCAGCAGCAGGAGCAGTTACCACTCTTGCCCTTTGCCGTGCGCAACAATCACAGTCTGATACTAAACTCTGTCGAAAATTTTCAGATTGTACCCAAATCGCTTACTGAAAAGCAGCAGCAAGAAGAGCCCCAGCTAGCCGGCGGACCCGTCTCGCCCCTGAGTGCTCCGCGCAAGAGCAGCAGCACTGCGGGCGCTGTTGTCAAGAGTGCTGACGATGCTCCGAATGCTTCAGTTGCTCCCAGGCTCAGCAGCAGCAGTAGCGGACTTCCCCCGCTGGCTCTGCCACCGGCCAAGCCAGAGCGCAAGCTTCCGGAGAATGTGGCTCCCATACCCGAAAACTTTGAGGACAACAAAGTGGAAGCCAAGGACGATGCAGTTGACGTAGACACAGCGGCCGAGGAGCTGCCCAAAAATGAGAACAACAACCGCTATGCTAATGTTGTGAATGATCTCGAGAACAACAAGAACTTGGGCGTGGCCCCCAAACCCATTGAGGACTCGGGTGCACACGAAGTCAAAGATGCCATGAACGAGCCCAGCTTCAATTTGCCTGCAGCCGGGCAAAACCTCTTCGACGGGGAGCTGCCAGCGCCAGGGCCTGGACCGGCAGCCGATGATGCTGTCAAGCAGTTGGCCGAAGCAGCCGGCGGTGGTGAGGGCGACGACGATGATGACGTCGGCGATGTGGCTGTGAAGCAGCCGCAGCATTTGCTCGATACGGACAATTTGAATAACGAGATAGCGGCCGACCAAGGGAAAGAGTTTGCCGAGGGCATACATCTCGAGGATGCCATGGATGAGGATCAAGATGGTTAGTTAATTAAATATTTTTCTGTAAAAAATTAATTATATATTTTAACTCTCCAGAGGACGACTACTCCAACGTGGCGCGTAAGAAGGGAGGCGAAGCCATTAGAAATTAAGCGTCAAACTAGGTTTAAAGCGGCATTTGTGCAAGGGATTGGCCTCCTTTTTTATGTTTAAGTCGTGTTCGCACAGAGCATTGAACAAATTTCCAGAAGAAAACACGAAGAATTCCCCTACAAATCGGATCAACGAATACACGGATTATGTATTATAATTGAGGACTAGAGTAATCGATTTCTAGTGTCAGCACGCCGCCCTAAGGATTAGACCTACTTAGTGCATAAGTAACGTTCAGTCTCATCATTATCATTATATTTTTACAGACTGGGTTCTGTTCAGCTTTAAAACGCATGTGTCACAAAAAGATATGTAGCTGCATTCTCTTTTTTACCTATAAAAATTCTTAAATGAACCATTTTCCATCACAGATTTAATCACGCTTCGGCTTTGCATTCAATCAGAGATCTTGTACGTTTTATACTCTTTGTTTTCTGTGATAAAATCTTTTGCCACACACACTGCATTTGGGCAGGAATGTTTCCTGTGTTTTTGTCTCTGCCCCAAAACCAGATGGAGAGAATATTTAGAAAAGTAAGAGGAGATATTCGGGAAACACGACACGCCAAGCATTCGGAACACACCCACAATCTTTATTGATAATAATTGATAATAAAACTAAATGCATAAATGTTAAATTTTTCTTGTAGCTTGCTAAATGAGGAAAATTTGAAATGCCATAATTATATTACGCGGCGTGACACAACTAAAACTCAAAAATGAACTAGGAAATAACTCAAAATTAAAATAAATAAAAGGAAACAAGAAAACGTTAAGTGAGTAAGTCACTTTGTATGCGCCAGAATCCAGGGGTGTACCAACACCTGGTCCAGGGGCAGACGATGCTGAGGAGTGAGGACCAACAGCTTGGAAATCAAGTGAGCGGCCGCCTTGGAAATATGCTCTGGCAGTTTGTACTCCACTTTGAGGATCTTCTTGTAGGTCTCGTCATAGTTTTTCGAATAGAATGGGGCATGACCCACCAGCAGTTCGAAGCAGAGCACACCCAGGCTCCACAGGTCCACGTTCTTTGTGTGCGGCTTTCCCTGCACCATTTCCGGTGGCAGATAGTCCACAGTGCCGCACAACGTCATGCGCATGGAATTGGGTTCGTGAACTGACCACCCAAAATCGGCTATCTTCAGCACACCCTTGTGGCCCAGCAGGAGATTCTCCGGCTTGATATCGCGATGGATTATGTCACGCTCGTGCAGATACAAGAGGGCCGAGCAGAGCGACTTGATGTAGGTGGCCGACTGGCGTTCATCGAAGCGCTTTGACGGCTGAGCCTGCAGCGCATTGAAGAGAGTACCCTGTGGGGCATACTCCAGGATCAAGTAGATGCGCACATCGTCGTGAAAGTATGCGTATAAGCGAAGAATGTGCGGGTGCCGCAGATGCGATTGTATTTCGATCTCCCGGCGCACCTGATGCTCCACATTGGATTCGCCAATCTGACGCTTGAACAGGACTTTTAAAGCCACTACGAACTGGGACTCCTTCTCGCGTGCCAGGTACACATTGCCGAACTTTCCGCGTCCCAGTAGACGGCCAATGTCGAAGTTGTTCAGCTCCCAAGTTTTCTTTGGCTTAGGGGGCTGATTTTCTGTTTGAAATTACAATTACACGAAAGTAATAAAAGTAAGGATGCACCCAAAAACTCACCAGTCTTGCCTTTCTCTTTGTCAGTGCTGTTTGAAGAGCTGGATGCAGTCGATTCGGCAGATCGAGCGGCTTCTGTTGCTGTAGCTGTGGCTAATGGTTTATCCACAGGGTCAGCGTTAGTCTTCTTGGGTTCAGTCACAGGAGCTGGAGCCACAAACTCCGAGGTTGGTTTCTTTAGTGTACTGGCAGTGGGTACAAGTGGCTTCGCAAATTTCGACATTGCATCTTGGGCTGGACGCGCAATTGTCGTAGCCGTTTTGGCTGATACGGAAGACGGAAGAAGCTTGCAGCCTGGTGCCATATTCTCGCTTGTCGACTATGTTATAAAGTGATCGTAAGTGATAAATTAAAAATTGACGGCAGTCTCCTGACCCACCTTTTTTGTCAGCAGCAAATTTTTCTTCTGCATGCCAAGTGCAGTGACTGCCTCCGGCTTTCTGGCCATGGCATTTGCTTTTGGACGCAACACATTGTTGGACTGATGAGACATGTTTGCAATCAATTTATTATAAACAAACACTTTTGGTTAATTTAATACAATAAAAAACTCAACTGGGTAAAAATACATTCACGATTGTGCCTGTCCTGTGAAAATAAAATGCCGTTCATTTGAATTAGGAAGCGCGTGTCCGAGTGGCGTTGTGAATGGCAACATCAGTGTTGCAAACCTCACTTCTGTTATTATTATATCGTACTATTATTATCATTATTTGAGTATATATTGGATATAAATGGCTCTCTAGAGTATTGTCTGGTGGTATAGAATAAACCTTATCCATCCACTTATTCGATTTTAAGTGTTTTATTAAGACATTGACTATATATCGTACAATTTCGTGACTGTGACTGTTAACAGATGCCCATCGCCCATCTCTAAGCCAGCTGTGGACAAAAACAATTATTTGTAGAAAATAAAAACACAGAAATACAGTTCGATGTATAATGCCGAATCAAGTTATTAATATTACTGATTTAAGCTGCCGCGTTTGTCTGGAGACAAACGAGGGCGCCTTGCGTCTGAACGATGAGATTCAGTACAATGAGCTAAACTTTGAGTTGTGGCAATTACTGGAAACAGTCTCCAAAGTGAAGGTAAAAACCATGAAACATGAAATATATGCGTTGAAATGTAATGGCTATAACAATTTCCACTCCAGTGCACCTGGAACGAAGCAGATATGCCGACCCGCTTGTGTCAGAATTGTACCCGCCGCTTGATAGCCGCTTATGATTTTATACTCGATGTGGAAAACGCACAGCACACGCTGCAGCAAGTGGCTGTGATGAAGGAACGGGAGGAAATCCATTTGGAGGTTCTCGAATTGGGTAGCCAGGATGATTTTTTGCCCGTCATCTGTGACAATGAGGAGATGGCTGTGGCTGTTTCTGTCACGGCGGATGCGGAGCATGCTGCTGAAGCTGTGGTGGGAGTGCCGTTTTCAGAAGCAGAAGCGATTATCGAGCCGGTCTATGAAACAGACCATCTAGAAGAATTGGAGACTGAAATACCATTTGAGGGCGATGACTTGGATGTTACACAAAATGTGGATGAAGAAAATATGGATGTAAAAGAGGAGAAAGAGCAGGAACCTCCCTTCGTGGCAAACTCACGACCCTCGCAGCTGGGCAGTCGGCTAACAAACTCACAGAACTTCATCTTTAAGTGTTCCATTTGTCCGCGTGTATTCGCCAAAAATGACTCGCTCGCCCGGCACATCGCCATTGCCCACAGTCTGACCGCGGACGAGGCCGCCCAGGAGCTGGCAAACGAAAGCAGTGGACGCGGCGTGCTGACTTGCAAGTACTGTCCACGCATTTTGAAACGCCAGGACACATTGCGTCGTCACATGCAGGCATTCCATCCAGAGGAAGCGGCCAAAGATGCAACGGAGTCAGCTGCCAGCTCCACGCGGAAACGCACCGCAAAGCGTCGTGAGTGCCCGCACTGTGGCATTAGTTTTCCCACCTCCAGCCTGACCATCCATATACGCAGGCACACTGGCGAGAATCCGTACAAATGCGACCAGTGCGAGAGGGCCTTTCCGCGCAGCCAGGACCTCAGCTTACACATGCGTCAGCACACGGGCGAAAGACCCAACGAATGTAAAATCTGCTCAAAGAAATTCATATCCCAGAACAAGCTGGCCAGACACATGCGCCTGCACACGGGCCAGCGTCCGTATGCCTGCGTTAAGTGTGACAAGAGTTTCGTGCAATCCAACGACCTGAAGATCCACATGCGCCGTCACACGGGCGAGCGTCCGTACAAGTGTAATGTATGCGGGGATAGTTTTGTCTCTGGCTCCCTACTGAACGTCCATCGGAATCAAAAAGGTCACCACATGGCAACATGTGCAAGCCCGAGCGCCGGTGGTACCACTGACGATCCGTATTTAAATTCTCGTGTTAACAATCGTCGAGCTGAGGACATAGAACGTATGCGGCGGAAACGAGATTATGAGGATCGACTTAACCAACCACAAGCCGCGCCCTCGCAGCCCCTGACACCGTCGCCAAAACAGTATTCCCATCCGGAGAAGCCCCTGATCTACAAGTGTGGCGTCTGTGAGTGGACTTTCAAGAGCGGTGCCTGCCTAACCATTCATCGAAACAACATGTCCCACTACGAGCTCGGCAAGGTCGACTACGGTGATCCCTTTTCAAAGATGGTCAAAAGGCATAGTTAAATACAAAATTGGGGATTTACTTTAAAATTAAAAAGTTAAGTTATTAAGTTATTAGCATTGACGGGCCTGGGAATATTTATTTTATATGTTAACCTACAAGATGTTGGTTGTATTTTGTTTAATTCCACAAATTGTTTTAAGCCTTGATTAATATCTTTTTATTAGGTTGAGTAAAAACTGATGACAACTAAAATCTTTTAAAACTGAAGAAGAAAATAGACAAAAAACGTACATTTAACAATTACATAATGTTGTAAGTAGTTGTATTTTCAGTGGCGCTTGCGCTGTTGCGACGCGGAAGAGGAGGAATACGAGTGGGAGTGGTGAGTGCTACGCGATTTCGATCGGGATCTAGAGCGATGTCTATGCTTGCCATGATCATAGCTGCTGGCATGGCTGCTGTGCCGCGAGGAGCGTCGATAGCTGCTGCTGCCGGCATCCTCCTCGCCAGAGTGGCTCGACTCACGCGGGCGTCGTTGATGTGGCTGATGGCTACTGCTGTTGCGCCTCCCACCGATGTAATGCGTTCGATTACGACGAGGACGTCGCTCTCGTTCCCTCTCATGATCACGGCGCTCGTATTTATTCCGACTACTGCTGCTGCTACCGCCGGCATGATCGCTTTGACCACGGCGACTGCTTGTTGTCCGCCGGCTGCTGCTGCTCTTGCCGCGACTGCTGGAAGTTTTCGAACTGCCGGAGATGCTGTTGCTGTCATCGCTGTCGCTGTTAGAGCTACTGCTACTCGTGCTGCTGGAGGAAGATGATGCCGACGACTGGTGTCTCTTGCTCTTTGACTTTCGTGACGATTTGTTGGCCTTGTTTAGGGCTTTCTCTGCAGCACTCAGCATGCAGGCGACTGCCTCTGGCATCTGTAGCAGATTGGTTGCCAAATTGGGGACCGGCTTCATCTTTGCAAGAACCGAGCTAGAGCTCACAGGCGCAGTGGCGACTATTTGGGCGTAGTTTGCCGTTGAGTTTTTCCCATCCTTGTTGTCACTGAATCGAGTGGTACGCTCCTTGCGACTCGGCCGTTTGCCTGTCCACAATAAATACGAGATGTAATCAATGTTTTGTGGATAAAATTACACAAATGCACAAACCATTAAACTGGAGCAGTTTATCATGGGCTGTGGGATGTTTAGCAGTTGTCTCCCCAGGCGCCTCAGGATTACTATGTATACGTCGCCTTTCCTTGTCAGCATCTGAACGTTCTCGTTCCTGCTTGCGATGTCGCTGCAGTGTCTGCTCATCGCGCTGCTCCTGCTTGGCCACACGATCCTCAATGTCATCAATGACTCTTTCAAATGCTCGTTTGCTACGCCGTATGCGAGCCTATGGAATAAGATTAATTAGTACCATGTTCATAAGACGATTCGGTTTTAGTGTTCTAACTAACCTTCAACTCCTCCGCGCTGAGTTGGACGCTTTTATCAGCACTCTTTGCTGCTTCCGCATTGCGCGCGCCTTCCTCATCGTCCTCATCCTCATCGCTTTCGCTGGAAGAATCGCCATAGGCTGCTAAACCTATAATTCAAATCAGTCAAGTGCTAATTGTGGCTACCAGAGACAATCGCGATGCAAATCGGGCGCAGTTTATGGGAATACTTCAATACGAATTCATATAGGAATCATTTTCAGAGACAGACAAAGACATAGACGAAGGGAGTGATTCGAGACGAAAGCCTCAAACTGCGCCAAAGGGAGGCTGGGGTGGTAGCAAAGTAAAGGAAGTTATAGGCTAGAGAATCCAATTATAGTACCATTCTTTTTTGCGAAAGGGAGTATAAATTTAGGGCGTTACAACGGGCTGCACAGAGGGAGAGGGTGGGGTCTTTAAGCATAACTCAGGCTACCTTTAAAACGGAAAATAGTGCAAAACGAAACATAGGGATAATCATAGTGAATATTGTGTACTTACCCAAATTTCCGGTAATGGAGGACAAGGCGCTTTTGCGAATCACTTGGGCTGATGATGCTTTTGATTTACACACATACATATATATATATAGTATATTATATAATACGATTATAAATTGTTCAGCAAGGGATTCATTTTGGTTTGTGTTTTGTGTTTAATTTGAGACATAAGATAACAATAGAATAATTGAAGAAACCGTAAAATCAAGAACGCGATCGCCGAGCCATCTCACAGGGATTTCATTAACGAGTCAGGAAGAGAGAGGAAGAGAGTGAGGGGGAGAGTTCTCTTCCAAGCAAGGATCGTTCGATGGAGAGATCTTCCGTCATCTTATGTTCTAGCTACTTACACACCAACAAAACACACGCGAGTTGAACGCTGGAAGAGATCGGGTTTCGGGGGAAGGAAGAGATGTTTCTTAAGTGTCTATAATGTACCTTTAGCGCGATGCGCTTTTAATGTTTCTGCTGCAATGGCTGCAATCTCTTCGTTTGTCGTTTCCAGCAGTATTTCGGTTAATGTGCGACGCACCAAAAGCATCTATAGATTTGGTATTTATAGATTCATTCGGGACTAATGTAATGTATATATGTTCTTGGATGCGCAGCCATTGGCCAGGGAATGAAACGAAGATGTGTGCATAGAAATAGGCTAGAAAGAGGTGCAGGCTCCTTCTTCACGTGCCTGCATGTGCAATGTGGGAACCCCACATAGGATTCGTATTATTATAGATCACATTTCATTGCCTGGCTGAGCGCATACATCCGAGTCAAATAGTGAATGCCTACCAGATCCGCGAGTCTTTCTTCGTAGTTTTTACCATTGCCAGGAGCTTCTGTTGCACCTGTCACACCGTCTGCCTTTTCCGCATCCTCCAGAGACTTGGATTTGTTGTCCGACTCCTTCTCATTCTCCACCTCCTGTTCATTATCACCGCTGCTGCTGCTGCTGCTTCTTCTGTAGCCAGCCTTATTCAATATATCTTTACCTACGAGTACTTTCGGTTCCACTGATGCTTTTGCGTGCGCCGCCTCCTCCTCCCCAGTATTGGAATCTTCGCTGTCGCTGGCCTGAATGTTCAAGTTCATGTTAAATTTCATGTGTTCCCAGCATTCCATGCCTTTGCAAATTGTCTGTCTTTTAGTCAGTTTTTTCAGTATCGGTTTTCAGTATCGTTTGTGTGCAACCAATTGGGTGTAGCGCATGTATGTGTTGCACTTTTAACACTTTTGTTGGTCGGTGGTAGTGGGTGGTAATGAGAGTCGATAATAACCTGGCCATGCCTTTGCCTTTTACTTACCACATTCGCGATGTTCAATGGATTAACAGGTGTTGTTAGTGATTTGCTAGATACTTGCTTAACATTGCTTGTAGCTTGGAGTAGCACCTCAGCATCCCCAACTGTGGAATGCTGGCGTTCCATCTGTCGCTGCTTCTCGCGCTCCATTTTCTCCAGACCCTCTCTGTAATGCAGGGGCAGACGACAGGTGTGGTCTTTTGATTCTTCTGTTTATTTTATATTATTTCTTTCCGGCCTTACCTTATCCAAGCTGGCAACATTTTCCGTTTGTTGGCATCAATTTCACTGCTGGCACTGTTGATGTTCCCGCTGCTACTGCTCTCTGGCTGCGGCTGCAGCTCATGTTGGTGTGAATGTGCTTGTGGTGGTTGCTGTGGCTGCTGCTGATTCTGATTCTGTGCCTGCAGCTGTTGATGCGGCTCATTGGGATTGCTCACGTTGAGCTTGAGCAACGAGGGAATATGCGCTGTACGGTTGGAAGAGGCATTGCCCGTCTTGTTAGGCCACTGGCTCCACGGTGGCTTGCCTGAAGGAGACATAAGCATTAGGCCGCCAGCCAGTTAATACTCTCTAGTCGTCTACTCACCCGTATTGCTGAAGGCAGCCACTGCCGCATTGGGTGCTGTTCCGGTAAGTCCCAGCCACTGCGATTGCGTAACCGAAGGAGCGGGAGGGGGCGTTTCACTACCATGTCCTCGCTCATTGTCATCGTCCATGTCCATGTCAGCCTCGCCATGCTCCTCAAAACGTGTTATCTTCGCGGTGGTCGCCGGCGGTCTCACGGGCAGCGTTGGCATATGCTGCTGCTGATACCCCGACACATTGCCAATAATGGGGGGCGGCGGAGCCATGGGCATAGCGATCCCAGCCGGAGTATTGTCACGCATATGTATCCATTGCTGGGCGAGCTGTGCCCAGTCGATGGTCAGAGGAAGCCCTGTCGCCACCAAGGGATTCGCGACGGTTGCCGCAGGGACAAAGTGAGACGGGGGCGGTGGAGGCAGCTGGGCCATAAACTGATTGTGGTTCCGCTTGTTGTAGCCAAGATCAGCATTAGCATTTCCACCGGGAAACATTCTGTATTGTATAGCTACAGATATAGCAACTTTTCAGCAAAATTTTCTCCCGAAACAAATTTTCTTCGATCCTAGAGATGTTAAAAGTCCGCGGACTTATCGATCAAATATACCGTCCGATTTAAAAAATATACCGTAAATATACTGACGAGCTCATGTTCTATTATACATATTCCTCAATTTGGATATTCCGAGGAATATTACCATCTATAAAGAACATTTAGCCATGCCCACATAATTTTATACGATTCATGAATAATTTTTCTACTTAACTGGCTTATTCTAAATACTTGCTTTTTTTTGCATTTTGCGTTAAAAAAGGGTTTTGGCGAAAATGGTCAATCAAAAAAAGGTTTTAGCACAAAAAGCGAAAGAGGATAGTCGTTCATATTGTTCAATTTTTATATTCCCTTGAATAATTCTGGCTAACTAAAACCCTTAGTTCTGCCCAAATAATTTTAAGCCGTTGATGAATAAATTTTCTTCAAGATTGGCTAGTTTTTAGTCCTTGCTTTTGTTGTATTTTGGCTAAAACAAGGCTTAAGCAAAATAGTTCAACAAAAAAACAGTCGCAATGTTGCTGGTATTTGAAGACATGCTGCGTGTACAGTAAAACGCGTGTAAAACGTAATTTATAAAGACCTTATCTCGATAGCATAGTTATTAAGACAGGGAATTTTAAAAGGTATATCAGGTCCCAGTTCCCAACAGAGTGTACAAATAATGTTCCATCAAAGAAATTAGAATATAGGCGGATATGAAACAGTCTATCACTAGACGCAGGTGTCATCGCTACGTCGGAAACCTACACACACACACACACACATAGACAAAGTATGGTGCGCAGAGCCAATGAAAAGAGGGAAGAGAGACCGACAGCGAAACAGATATGCCAGAGCGAGAAGAAAGTTTGAGTCCGCTGCGCTGCTTAAATGTCACGTGTTCCGCAGCCTATAAAATGGAGGCAACATCACTGCTCATTTGTTCAAAAATCATCCAACCTACAACTCTTCTATTTAGCGGAGTATTAACCTGTTTTCCATTGTACAAGAACCACATATTAACATTCCAGGCAGTATGTTTTGGGTCGTCATCTTGCTGAAAAACGAAATCCTCTTTTGGAATACCCATTTTAGCAGCACTGGAGGGCAGATTTTCCTTCAGGATATTTAAATACATCTGTGCATTCATTATTCCATCAATAAATATTAAGTTGCCAACGCCTCGAGTCGACATGCATCCCCAAACTAGCACAGATCCTCCGCCACGCTTAACCGTTGGTTTGATGCTTTTTAGTTTCAGCGCTTCACAAGGCTTACGCCAGACTTTTCCCTCGCCGTCAGAACCAAATATGTTAAATTTACTTTCATCACTAAATATGACGAGTTCCCAGTATAAAAAGTCTTTGGTTTCGCGCGTTTAAGCGAAGTTTAGACGCTTCGACACATTAACACCAGACAGCAATGGTTTTTTTTGGGACATCTTCTATGGAAATCATTGCTTCTGAGGACCCAGCGGACGGTTTCGTTAGAAACGTTGGTTGCCAATGATGATGACAAGGCACCATTTATTTTTGGAGCCTATAAATGTGGGTTTTTCCTATTCTCTTCCAGAATTTTTCGCTCTTCTCTGTCTGTCAATATCTTTGGTTGGCCGGAACGTGGCAGATTTTCCAAGGAATTCCGAGCTTTTAGTCGAGAAATGGCACTTTTAATTGTCGAAACACTTCGTTCGAACAACTCACTAATATATTTATTAGATTTGCCCTCATTGTGTAGGTGCAAGATGATTTTTTTTGCGAATCGTTCAATTTTGACCCTTTTGGAATTTTTAATGCGACAGATCAATTTTTGGCCAAGAATGTAAATGTGGGTTTCCCCGAAATGGATTCGCCATGTCAAATTTGTTTAATTTTTTTCCCATCTGTGAAAGACCATTAGGTTTTAGCTATGGCATCAAAGATTACCCTTTTTATTGGCTTATTTATTATAGACGCGTAACTCCGCACTACAATGTGGAAGACTGTCACGTGGCCGACTTTTTCTTGCCTTTTCGCCAGTGCAGCAACTCCGTTCGGTTGCGGTGCACCAAAGCCGAAAAGGAACGGATCTGTTTCAGCGATGGCACTGCAACTTCCGCCTAAAACATCTGTGCTTCAAGGGAGCGTGAGAGCGAGGAGATCTGGCTCCGCTTGAGGGGGGATTCGAGTTCGGCAATGGCAGATGCCATGCCCACCCCAGATCTTATTGCCGATATAGAATGATAGTCACCAGATTGTGATACAATTTGGCAAAGATATGCAAATGGTACTCAAATATATAAATAATTATATATATATAATTGTTCAAAACCTAGATAGAGAGGTTAAAACACATCCTTTAACAAGTGATCTATGTTTATATTTTCATACTCTTTTATAGGAAAACACTGGCAAAAGATTCAAATGAATAGCCAACGCCGGCGAGAAGTTTAATGTAAATCTCTCATAGTGCCGGCGCGACCATTTAATTTTAAATTTAAAATATACATCCAAAGCTTTGTCTTACTAAATGCAACAACAGGTGCCGAAAATACTTGCTGCTCTTTTTGTACATACTGTTGAGAGTTACTATAGCGTTTATGATACAATTATCAGTAGGTAAAACTTAATTGCATTTATGAACACGCGAGTCTTTCATGGATTTTGTTTGTACAAATAGTAAAATGCATATACATACGTAATATATACATACAGTAGGTTGATCTCGGCTGTTGTTTTGGTATCCATTAATCAGAAAAAGCCCTGTGCGTTACCAACTTAAAGTTAGGACAATTAAAAACTAAACATGTGAATAAATGGAGTCTGGCCAGAGCTGCTTACTCTCTTCCAGGAAGTCCACGTATTCCATGGTCATCACCGCCACCTCACAATTTGTTGGCAGTGAATGTTAAGGGTGCGGCAATAGTTCCGCCCGTAATCGATTTATGGTCAGCACGCTCCTGATCCGACAACCAAGCCATCTACGAAAAGGTATTTGAATCAGTTATTAGCAAAAGGAAACATTGAATTTTTAGATAAACTCACCTTTTGCTTGTGCTGCTCAACGGCCGAATAGCACCGGTCCATAACCATTTTCTCGGACAGCACACCGTCCTCAGAGGCGTAGACGGCTGCCTGCCAGGACACGCCCAGTTTGGAGATCTCACGTCCAGACATTCCTTTGCACAGCTGAGCCATCTTTGAGCAAGTCTTGCCGTAGTCGAACGTGTCCAACTTGAAGCGCCTGGCCCCAGAAGCGGCGGGCTGGAGCACATATTTGTCAAAGTAGAGACGCAACAAACGCTCACGCTCATCCAGGCCGGGCAGCGTGAATTCCACCATCTCATCCAGACGATCGTTGATGGCATAATCGAACTGTTCGGGCGTATTTGAGGCCAGAACGAGCATGAATTTGGGGTTCTGTTCCGAGGTTCTGTACAGGAAGGCGTTGAGAGCGGCCCTCAAATCTTCCGATATCTTCTCCGACGATCGCTTCCTGAGAAAGGCGTCAGCCTCGTCCACAAACAGCAACAAGCCGCGCCGTGAGGCATGCGACCAATCGAACACTTTGTGTATGGCTGTAACACCTTCCTTGCCCATGGGCGCCACATCGCCACCAGTCATGATGGCGAAGTCCATGCCAGAGTGTTCGGCCAACTTTTTGGCAAACATCGTCTTACCCGTTCCGGGTGGGCCGTGCATCAGCACATTCCTGTAGAGACCACGATTGATGCGTGTGTTCTTTGTGGCAATGGCAATGTCACGTAGACGTTCCTCGAGACTCGGATTGAGAACAACGCCCTGGAGTGCATCGGCCGGCTTGGAGCGCAGTCGCTTGATGTAGTTCAACGGATGCTTCACGGCATCGAGGAAGGCAAAACGCGAGGTCTCTCCCACCAGCGATGGTTTGCCGATGCGCGCTTCCACGTAACGGGATACAACGCCGGTGGCACCCTTGGCCGTGTACACACCAAGGGCAAGCAGTGACAGGCCGCCAGCGGCAGTCAGCACCTTGTCCCAATCGGTGAGCATGGCCTCGGCACCAGCTCCAATCACGGATCCAGCCGTTCTGCAAGGGAACAATCATGCAATGACATCTAAACGTTGTTCTATTAAAGCCCACTCACTTGATGCCTTCCATCACAGTGGTACGGTGCTCCTGCGCCTTCAAACGAATCTTCTCCAAGTTCAGATCGCGATTCTCACGGTCCACGCGCGCCTTGGCCCTCAGCTCATGCTCTAGCAGCTTCAAGCGATTCTTCTCCTTCATTTCGATCTCGTGCTCAATGGTCTGACGGCGCATAGCCTCCTGCCGCTGCACGCTCTCCTCCTGCTTGCGAAGATTTTCCTCCTGGACCCGCTGCTGTTGGACCAGCTGGTCCTCGTACCGCTTGCGTGACAATTGATCCTGATACTGGGCACGCTGCTGCTGTTGCTTTGTCTCTTCAATCAGGGTCTTGCGTCGCTCCTCGTGATCAATGCGCCTTTGCTCCACCTTGGCCTGCTCAATGTGGGCCTCGTACTCCTTTACCTTGGTGCTGTACTCCGCCTGTCGGGTGGACTCCTGCATCTTGGACAGCTCCAAAGCCTCGCGAGCATGTTCTGTAAAGACATTATCATAGGTCACACATACACTCATACAGTAGCACACACACAGGCGCGCGCCCCAACTTTGATAGCATTCGGGGGCGCATGTCGATTATGCAATTGGCTGATGAAATTTTCCACCTACTTGAACGTTCTAGGGTCTTGGCGGCATCTGCCGCCCGCTCCAGTGCCGATGAATCAAAGCGGTAGGCCTCCATGGCCTTACGTTCGGCGCGGGTTAGCTCTGCATCCCCGGCCTTGCCGCCGGCAGTTCTACCCTCGGGATCGGCTCCATCGGCGCCGCCAGCAAAAGGATCTGGCTGCGGTTGCTGACGATTTCTGCCCAATAACCACGACATGACTGCTTTAACTAATAAATGGGTTGACCAAAAGTCGTGTTTCACTAACAAATGAGTGTTTAATTTCGTCTGAAACAATCAAATGTGCTTATCAAATAATTTTAAAAGTTATTTGTTCGTACAACGTGATTCTGATTTGACAGATAACAGCTGATTGACAGTGCTGTAAAACGACATTTTGTTTTATTTATATGTTTTATTTATTTATTAATATATTAATAAAGTTGGAAATACATGTACAATTTAGTATGTGTGTGTGTTACACGCACAATGTAGCCGTTTTACGCGTATAATTGCAACTGATATTTGCAACGATGATTTTTCCGACGTTTCGATAACTAAATCGGCCCGTCCGATATCAATCAGCTGTTTCTCCGGCAAACATTTTGTATTTTATTTTTTGTTTGGCTTTTAGCTGCTTTTTTAGGCGTCCGTCCCCACCATGTTCGAACGCAACCAAAAGACCATTTTCGTGCTGGACCACACGCGATACTTCAGCATAGCGAGCGAGGAGTACATATCCATGGACTTTCTGAAGGGCAAACCCTCTGCCCACAGTTCCGCCGGCGGTTCAAGCCAGTTTAGCAAGAGTCTGTGGACCTGCGCCTGCGAATCCTCCATCGAGTACTGTCGCGTAGTCTGGGACCTGTTTCCGGGCAAGAAGCATGTGCGCTTCATAGTCTCAGACACGGCGGCCCACATCGTAAACACGTGGAGCGCCAGCACACAGAACATGTCGCATGTGATGAATGCGATGGTCATGGTGGGCGTACCGTCCCGCAGCATGCCCCAGTCGTCGGATTACTCAGTGATCCATGGGCTGCGGGCGGCCATTGAGGCACTGGCTGAGCCCACGGACGAGCAGAGCCAGGCAATGGCTAGCGGTATACCCGATGATCTGATACTCAACGAGGGACGCGTCATATGCATCACCTCGGCGAGGGACAACACCAGCATGAAGAGCCTCGAGGACATCTTCAATACGGTGCTCATCCAGCAGAATGTCCTGTCCGCAACGCCCCCTAAAAAGGGACTGGGGATCAATCACTGTCACCTGGTGATTCTCAATATTGTTCCTTTGGGAATCGATTCCATGGTGACCAATCGCAATCTGCTCGAGATTTCCCCTCTGCTGGATGTGGAAATTCATACAGTGGGTGCCCCGGATATTTCCTACAAGCTGACGCATCTCATTCTGGATCACTACGATCTGGCCAGCACAACGGTGACGAATATACCGATGAAGGAGGAGCAAAATGCCAATTCCAGTGCGAACTACGATGTGGAGATACTGCATTCCCGTCGTGCCCATTCCATAACGTGTGGCCCGGACTTTAGTCTCCCCACCAGCATCAAGCAGGGGGCCACCTACGAGACGGTGACCCTCAAATGGTGCACGCCCCGTGGCTGCGGATCGGCCGATCTGCAGCCGTGCCTGGGCCAGTTTCTGGTCACGCCCGTGGATGTTACGTCGCGGCCCAGCTCGTGTCTGATTAACTTTCTGCTTAACGGACGCTCTGTGCTGCTGGAGATGCCTCGAAAGACCGGCTCCAAGGCCACCAGTCACATGCTGTCTGCCCGCGGTGGGGAGATCTTTATCCATTCTCTGTGCATCACACGCTCCTGCATGGACGAGGCACCCTCCATTGCCGACGGCCCCGGCGGCCGAGTGAACGACTATCGCACCTCGGAGCTGGGACAACTCATGAAGATGTCCCGAATGGTGCCGCTTAAATCCAGAGATCCTGCAGCACCCAATTTGCCACGACGACTGCCACGCTACTTTCCTTTGACCACCACCTCGACAGTGCTGTTCCATCTGCAGCGGCATCTGAGTTGGCTGCCGCACTTCCTCCATCTGCTGGTCAAGGAGATGGACAAGCAGGACGAAGTGCGTTGCCAGCAGCACATCCATGAGCTGTACAAGAGCGCCTCTCGAGGCGATGTATTGCCGTTCACTCACACGAATGGAGCGCGGTAGGAGGAGCTTTTAGTCCTTCAATTAATTCGTTTACTTAACCTGTTTCATCTTCCAGATTAAAACCCCACAAGGCCAAGGATCAGTATCGACTGCTGTACAGGGAGTTGGAACAGCTCATTCAGCTAAATGCCAGCACAGTGCATCACAAGAATCTGCTGGAGAGCCTGCAAACTCTTCGCGCCGCCTATGGCGATGCGCCCAGCAAATCGGAGGCAGGCACAGTCAATCTCCGATCCTTTACGGAGTCTCCCCTGTCGCCCGAGCGACTGGAGGCCATGAGCAATGTCAGTATCAGCAGCAGCACCAATTCCAACAGCCTGCTAAAGGCCAGCAAGCGACGCATGTCCAATTGTGGGACAAGGTAAGCTTTAAGCCACCTCCTCCTTAAGCTTTTACTCTTCCCTTACATATCCTATGGATTCTCTTCGTCTTAGATCTCTGCTGGATATCATTTCCTCTGCGGAACGGAGTCAATCCAATAAACGTTTAGATTTCTCCGGCCGCATCTGCACACCCATTGGACAGATAGCCAAGCTGTATCCCGATTTCGGTAACAAGGAGAAGGATGCTGCTGCTGCTGCCGCTGCATCGGGAGTTGGTGTTGCGCCGAAAGAGTAGTCCAATAGAAGCTGAAAATACAGAATTGCTCATAAGCCTAGGGATAAGGAAGAATGATTTGGCATTTACAATTCTTGGATCAAAAACTGCAATACCTTTCTACCCGTTCGGAACATCTCTTTACCCACTGGCAAAGTTGGCTCTAGGTGTTCTCAACGTTCCGAACTACCTTTAAGGCGAAACATTAATGGTTAAGGATTCCTTTTGCGCGCCATAATCCATTGGAAAAGTAACAAGTTCTTTGTTTTTAAAGTACTTTGCAGATATTGTAGATTTAATAATTAAAGATTCACATAAGTTAGATGTTACATCTGTCCATGTAGAAAACTTCATATTGAATTATTTCTGTATCTTTACTCTTTATATTCCTTTGATTCAATCAAACATTTTGGCATTTTTTGGGCCCTTTGTGTTTTGTGTAATGTTTAAAGAGAAACTATTCAAAAATATACAGAAAAATTTCTAGAGAATATTCAAAATTATTCGCACTTTCGCAAGACAATGGCAAACAATGTAAAAAAGCTCCTGCAAGTATCTGAGGAGGCGGCTCCCTTGATTCAGAGTAAGACCCAGACTATATCTCTTTGAAGCGCACTTCCCCAACATATCACTTATTCCCCCATTGTAGTTCCCGTAATGGTGGGCAATGAGATGTTTGTGCTCACCCAACAGGACGTTAGGCGAACGGAGGATATACGCTATTTGAGCTACGATCGCATTGCGCCCAATGTCCATCTGTTTCCCACGGCAGCACCCGCTGCAGCTCCAGTCAACTACTTTGGCGGGCTCTTCACACCTCTGGCGCTGCCTTGTACAGCCCCTCCGGAACTGTTTGGTCGGAAGAAGGCAGAACCGGCCCCAGGCAATGTGGCCGATGTGGCTACCCAAATGGCCTGGTCCAAGGAGAAGGAGATCGAACCCTCAAATCGCGCACCCTTGCGCTACAGTGCGGCCACCTCCACCTCTAGCCTGACCAAGAGCTGTGCTTGCCAGCACGATCCGCCAAAGTCGAGGAGCCAGCATACCAGCTGTAATTCTCATACTGCTCGGAATGCCTGTGTCCAGACCAAGGGCACAACTTCTTCGACTGCTTCCAGTACTGGCTCCAAGTCCATTTGGAAACCCGTGGCGTCTGATATGTCGGTTGCGGAATCGAAGAGCAATGTAAATATATCTTCACCTGGAAATGTATCAGATGCGGAGTCGAAGGACAATTGCAATGGAAATTCGGAAGGTAGCGTGCCCGCCAAGGAGTCCAAGTGTCCCAGCCGTCACTGCAAGTCCCAACAAACATGCACATACTCGGATGGGCAGAGCTATCATCGATGCAGTCCGCGGGAGGGGAGGTTTCGACCACAGCAGCATCAGTCGAGTAGATGTGCACAATATAAGTCGCATGGATGTGCTCAAGATCGTACTCGTGCACAGTCGCAAGAGCAGCTAACGGCAGCCCAACAGGATCAGCGCAGCTCCCAAAGGGATAAGGCAAAGTTCTCTCGAAGTGTCTACTTCTCCCCGCTAGAGGATGCTTCATCTGTTTAGAAGAATCCGAACAACGAAGAACAGCAGCGTCAACGCCACGAGAATAATAGAGCGAAGGGCAGCAAATCACAATTGCATTCTATTGTCCATATTTTCTTTAACTAATTTATAAATCTTGTCTGGCTTAACAATCTTCTAGCTTTAATTATGAATCCTTGTGGTGCATCCTTACTTTCTATATAGCAGCTATAACTAGCTCAACGATTTTAGGGGTCTGCTCTTGATGAGAGATTTCCTTTTCAATGGAGCTTGCACCTTTGCTGCCTTTGCCAGCTTACGCTTCTTTGACTTGGAACAGGATTCGTTATCCTGCGGCTTGGCATTGAAATACCTCTTGGGATTCTGATGCTCACGCTGCTCTCGCTTGAGCTCTTCCGGCGTACTGATGCGCAGATAAAAGTCCTTGAGCAGCACTTTGAAGTCCTCCACTAGGGTTTCCCTCACCACCTGAACCTTGCCCTTGTCGCAGAGCGTGCACGCCTGTAGCTCCGTGACCTTAAAGGCTTTTGGTGCAAACACTGCTGGGGGACGCCACATAATGGCCAATTCCTTGCCGCCATGGGGATTGTAGAAGAAGGCAGCATAGTCCGAATAGGCAGACTGCAAATCGCACAATAAATCGAATGAATTTCAGAATTTCTTGAAGTTAGAGTCAAGTCTTACCCTCAATTGATGGACAATCGCTGCCAGTGGGTCCTTTCCTGCTCTGGGCAACAGGTAATTCGGTTGATCAAAGGACACAAAGGGCGAACCGAGATCATAGCTCAGAGCATTGGGCACCAAATCCGACTTGAGTTGTATCACCAAATCGTAGCCCTCGCTGGAGCCTCGAAACAGCTGCGCGGGGCGCACAAATCTCAGATCTTTCGACTGCAGACTGGTCTCAATCATCTCCAGTGCATGGCGGGCCAATCGAGAGACATGCGAGAGGATACGCAGACTGGGCGACTCCCCGGTGGTCCACAGACGGCCGGCGTGTTGTTGATCGTACGAAGTGGCCAGGGCCAGGGGCGGATAGCTCTGCCGATCGCTGCGGAAACTGTGCTCCAGATCGCCAATTTGTTGTTCTGTTTAAAAAGAGAATACAGATAGAGTAGGATTGAGAGAGAAGCCACTGGGAAGACTCACCCTGCCAGCTGCTGTTGAAGTTCAGCAGAAAGAGTTCTCCATTCCAATCGCTGTGCGCGAGCAGATGCAGGAGCCGCATGAATCCTGTTTGGGGTGCCGCTATGGCCTGAGGAGCATTTCGCTGCTGGTACAGATGGGCAACCAGCAGCTCTGTGGCCATCGGGGGCCAGATCCCGTCATCCAGCAGTTGAGTGGCCAGCCAGCGCTTGGCAATCAGCACAGTCGGCCCATAGGCGGAGTGCGACTGATGCAGGGAATGCAGTGCTCCACTGACTTTGGGCAGGATGTAGTGCCGTTGCTCCAGGGCACGACTCTCGGGGTTATCCACATACTTCGTCACTCCCCGTTCGGTGACCTCCTGCTTGAGCAGAGCCAGCTCTTTGTTGTGAGCCAGCTCCAGCAGGAAACAGAAGCCACGCTTGAGGACCAGCAGGCCCTCAGAGGTAATGGACCAGTTGAGACGACACTGCGCCTTCAACTTCTCGCCAATCTCAATGAGGAATGCCGTCTTGAGTGCTCTCAGGGCGCTCAGCTCATTTGGCCACTTGCCGCTCTGTCCCAGCTGAATGATTACCCGCTGGATGTGGCTGGCATGGATGTGATCGGCCATCATGCGAGCCTGCGGCAGCACCGGCATCGGTTCACAGTAGCGGGACACCGGGGATATGCTCGAAATGGACACAATCTCTAGGGGCAGATCATCCAGCGCATGGAGTTGGCGCGCCAAATCATCATAGCAGCGTATCACATTGGGACTCAGTGCCTCCGCATCCGTGTCCTGCTGCAGCTCCAGTTTGGTCTTCACTTTGGACACCTTAAACCAGGGCGATAGCTGATAGACCAAATCCAGCTCGGCTGCAATATACTGGATATCCTTGCTGTCCAGCTGCAGATGATGCTCCAGCAGATGCATCACGATCTGCCGCACAATCAGTCGCTTCTTGCTTGGCGCATCTTTGGTTGTGCCCCACACAACAGCCTCCGTGATGCTGCCATCCTGAAAGCGTCGCAGATTGGATTTCTCGCCCCAAAACTTTCGAAACTCGGCAGATCCCTCGGGATCATCGTTGGATGACGGTCCCTTGTCGAGCACTTCATACGCATGCTCTGGATCGAGTATGAGACCCAGCTGTATGGCTTGTCCGATGATAGGGGCCTTGCTCTCGACGGGCCATGCACTGCTGACGGTTTCTATGGGTAGAATGGCCTGAACACGTTGCTTAAGTCCCTTTTGCAGAAGCCTATAAAGTTTCGTTTGAAATTAAGTTTAGCAGCAAGCAAGGAGACATGCATTCTACTCACTCTGTCAGGATTTGCAGCAGCTGAGGATAGCCATAGCTCGCAAAATCGTACTTCATCTGCGGCTTCGAATGAAGAACAAGCATTTGCTGTATACTCGAGTAGTTTGTGATCCTGCGGAAAGACAGAATAGTTTAATCTCTCAGAGAACTCAGAAAGAACTCCATTCAAGACTCACTTTAGTATGTTATCCACGCGTGTGTACAGTGGACACTTTTGCATGAAAATGTACGGGAAACTATTTAATTTCATATCATTCAGTAAGTCTACAGCTAGTTTAGCCTCTGCTCGGACCCTCTGGTACACTCCTAGCGGCACATTCGCACAGAGATTGAGCTGTCCGGAGACATCCATGAAGCACACATCGTAGTAGCCGGCTATGGTGCTCAGCTGCTCTGTTTGGCCTGAGGCGGGCGCGAGGGTGATGCCATTCGTCCAGTCTGTGTTGGCCAGTTGATTCCAAACGGTGCGTGCCACTTGGTAGCTGCTGCTCGACTGATGCAGTATGCGCTGTTGATTTAGATACACGATAAACGACGCCAGGATGTGCGAACCAAAGCCAGTGAATCCTCTGTCTAGCTCCCGCTGACGCAGCCATACTTTGAGCAGCAACAGACCGTCCTGAAAGTTGCGTCTGCCCTTGAAGGCCTTGTCGAGGAGTGCCTGGTTCTGGGCCAGCGTCAGGTCAAACAGAACACTGGCATTATAGTGCTGTGTGGACGGCAGTGCCTCCTCCTCATCCCACTCATCGTTATAGTATGTGGGCCGTATATTATTGTTCCAGGGCACAAATCTGCCCGGCTTGAAGGTGCTCTGTGGCGCCGTGATAAACAAACGCAGCTGCAGGTGCTTTGACACATGCTTGGCGGCTGGCGTTAGCTCCAGCACTGGCTTGAGAGGATTATTGCCATGATAGTTAAAGGCAAACTTATCCTGGGAATAGGCTGGATCGCTCCTCATCTGATTCGTTACGTAGGTCAGGTACAGGGCCCGCTTCTGATCGTATATCAGGTTTAGATAGTCATCCTTGTGTAGACAGTCCTTGGGCATCTCCAGGGCCACATCTACCACGATCTTTGGGCCCAGCAAAGTACCCGTGGAGGCAGCACCAATCAGTTGAGGCTCTTTTGTGGGCTTGGAGAAGATAAAGCCCGATATCTTCTTGTCCACATTCAAGGGCACTTCCAGCTGGCTCTTCTCCACCAGGCCATCTTTCAGCCGCTGTGTGAAGACTGTAAAGGATTCCATCCAATTGTCTATGTACTCGGTGTACTTGGTCTTTAGTTGGAGCTCCTCCAGCATCTCTTTGACCTGCAGCTTGAAGAGATTCGAGTGAAAGAGATTGCGTGTGTCACGCAATTCCTTCATCTCCTCCAGCGTCGGTGGCTTCACATTCTTCGCATCGTCTGTCCTGAACTTGTTCTTCTTTTGCGCAATGATCGAGACGGGTTCTGGCAATGTTGTGGTCTTCTTGGATGGCTTTGGCTTTGGCGTCGGCTCCTCGAAACCATCATCGCTGCTTGTGGCTGGCTTCTCCAGATCACTGTGTGCATCAAGACCCAACGCAGAGTCTGTAGATTCTGTTCGAGCGGCTTTTGGCGGACGTTTCGTGGCCGGTGGCTGGGTGAATGCAATTTTTAAGCTATGCTTTCCGTTATATCTATTCCGTAACTTACCCCTTTCCGTTGAATTTTCTTAATTTTACCCATTTCGCTCAACAGATCAAATGTAAATTATGTTATCTGGACTGGACTGCACGTGTTGCCATTTAGTATTTTCCTGGGTATTTTATCTGCAGCCGAAGTATGGTCACCCTGGCCGCAAGCTGTAGATTTTAGGTCAAACTGTAAAAAATCGAAGGATTAAGTGCGGAGTGGGCAAAAGTTAATGAAATATGTTCATAAACAATTAAAATTGTTTTGCTTAATACATAGTCCGGTGGCAGCCGTGCCGTGTTGTTTGTAAGTGTGTGGTGTGTAACTTGGGTGAAGATGTTTGCTCTTTGCCCTTGGTCCTGGCTGACACTACAAGATGGTCAAGATTGACTTAAGTGAAATAAAATATTTTAGTCACAAAAGGGACATGTGCAGAACGATTGATAGGTTTTTTGACGATTGCGAGTGGAAATGTGTAAACAAAGCTGCCGGCTAATTGGGCAGTGCTGTGGTATTTTCTTTGGTATTTTATAGACACTTCTCAAGGCAATCTGAAATACAAATAGCAAGGATTTTAATGAAATAAACACAAAATATAACCAAATCGGGGGAAATGTATTAGGTTTAGCTACATTAAAAGAATATGTGAATCTGGTATATTATATTGACGCCGCTGAAGCGTTTCCGTCCTTTCCCGACACGGCCCCACTGTCAGACCGTGTTTGTGTGTGTGCGGTGTGTGTGTGAGCAAGCAAGGGAAAAAATCGCACCATTTTTCTCGTGCTCTTGCGTGCGTTTTTGGTCTTTTGAGAAGAGTTTAATTGAAAATTGAACGAAAATAGACTATGATGAATATGTAAAAAGTAGTGCACTAAGTAGTCAACGAAGCGCCCGAAAAATCAACTAATATACACACCGCTATTAGTTAGTGCAAAAGTAATTCAAATTGCAAAATTGAGTTCGGTCCTGGTGTGAGTGTGTGTAACTGTGTCTGTGAGTGCGTGCGTGCCAGTGTATAAGTGAAAAAATGAGGCGTAGTGAAAATGCGT